GTACAGGGATTTAATCTTTAGGAATTCCTATTCATCCTCTCCAGATTGTGCATTTCTGGCTGTATTTATATACAGGATATAACTCTTTATACCATAGATTAGGCCGCCTAAGCTTGATCCCAGTTTGTCTCTTATGGGGCTTTATGCCCAGTTCTTTAATCTACCTTGAGTTGGTTTTTGTGTATGGTGTGAGATGTGGATCCTGTTTCCACTTTTTTTGCAGGTAGTAGGCAGTCCAGTTTTGCCAGCACTGTTTGTTGAAAAGCTTTTCATTTCCCCATTTGGTAGGTTTTATTTCTTTGTTAAATATCTGGTGATTATGGATAGCTGGGTTCTTTTCTGAGCTGTTGGTTCTGTTCTCATTGGTCTATGTGCCTGTCTTTGTACCAGTACCATGCTGTTTTGGTTATTAACACTGTGTAGTAGGTTTGAGATCAGGGAGTGCTATTCCTCCTGCTTCATTTTTGTATTTCAGAAGTCCTTTGCTTATTTGAGATCTCTTTGCTCCCCAAATAAACTTGACAATTTCCTTTTTTATCTCCTTGAAAAATGAATTTGGTATCTGTAGTGGGATTACAGATGGCTTCACAGTTGAATTCTCCCAAACATTCAGAGAAGATCTATCACTAGTCCTATATAAAATATTTTAAAGTAATAGAAAAAGAAGGAACCCTCCCAGAGTTATTCTGTGAAGCAAGCATAACCCTAATGCCAAAACTATGCAATGATATAACCAAGAAATTAAACTACAGACCAATGTCTCTCATCAATCTAGATGCAAAAATCCTTAACAAAATCCTAGCCAATAGAATCCAAAAGCACATTAAAAAAAAATAATTCATTATAACCAAGTGGGATTTATAACAGGTATGCAAGAGTGGTTCAACATAAGAAAAACAATCAATGTAATTTACCACATTAACAAAGCAAATAACAAGAACCATATCACTTTAGCGCTTGATGAAGAAAAGGCATTTGACAAAATACAACACCCCTTCCTTCTAAAGACACTCAGCACAATTGAAATAGAAGGGAATTTCCTCAGCATAGTGAAAAGAATATATGCAAAACCAAAAGTCAGTATCATTCTCAATGGAGAAGGACTTAAAAGCATTTTTTTTCAAACAGGGACCAAACAAGGATGTCCACTGTCACCACTTCTATTCAATATTGTATTGGAAGTACTTGCTAGGGCAATACTACAAGAGAAAAAAAGGAATCCAGATAGGCAAAGAGATGGTTAAACCATCACTATATTCAGATGATGTGATAGTGTACATAGAAAACCCCAAGCCAAGAACTCAACAAGAACTGTTAGAGCTAGTAGACCAATTTAGTATAGTGGCATGTTATAAGATCGATATCCAAAAACCAGTGGAATTTCTCTACAGCAACAAAGAGAACTCAGAGAAGGAATACCATTTCCCAACCACAAATTGAGGTACTTGGGAGTGATTGTAACTAGAGATGCAAAAGACTCATACAAAGAAAACTACAGAACCTTTTGGTGAGACACAATAAATCACCTAAATAAATGGAAAATATTCCTTCTCCACAGATAGAAAGACTCAATATTGTGAAAATGGCAATCTGACCATGACTTTTTAAAGCATGATTCTGTTGTCGAGCCTAGCCCTTCCTGATAACCTACCCAAAGTATATGAGACTGTCTCACCATCCTTGCTTCGAATGAGAATCCTCGGTACGCATCTTCCAAGACAGATTTCTTTTTTAGACAATTTGTGGTGGTGGTCGTTGTTGATCTTATGTGCCATCAAGTCGCCTGTGACTCATAGCAACCTTAATACAGTAGCCCTAAACCCTGCACTATCCTGTGCCAACCTCACTGTCTCAACACACTTATTCCTACCACCCCGATCACTGAATCAATCCATCTCATTGAGGGTCTTCTTCTCCTGCACTGCCCCTCCACTCTCCCAAACGTGATGTCCCTCTACAAGAACCAGTCCCTCCTTGCAACATGCTCAAAGTATGTCAGATGAAGCCTCAGAATCCTTGACTGCAAGAGTAGCCCAGCTTTACCCTCTCCAGGACAAACTTGTTTGTTCTCCTAACAGTCTGTGGTATATTCAACACTCTTCTCCAGCATCACAGCTCAAATGCATCAATTCTCTTTCTGTCACTCTTAGTCACTGTCCAGCTCTCCAATGCATAGCACACAATTGTGAAGACTATAGCCCAGATCAGGCACACCTTAATCTCCAGCCTGACATCATTGCTCTTCAGTACTCTGGAAAGGTCCCTGATAGCTGACTTTCCCAATGCAATTTGTCTCTTGATTTCCTGGCTGCTGTTACCGAGAGTGTTGATTGTGGAGCCAAGCAAATGAAAGCTGTTAACAGTCTCAATCTCTTTACCATCTATCATGATGCTGCCAGTTGGCCCAGTGGTGAGAATCTTTGTTTTCTTGATATTGAGCTTCAATCCATATTGAAGGCTGGAGTCCTTGACCTTCTGTAGCAAGTGCTTCAAGTCTTCCACTGTTTCAGCAAATGGAGTTGTGTCATCTGCATAACACAGATTGTTGATGAGTTGTCTTACAATCCTGATGCCACGTTTCTCCTCATAGAGCTCAACCTCTCAGATAATCTGGTCTGCATATAGAATGAAAAGGTATGGAGATAGGACACATCCCTGGCATACACCCCTTCCTAATTTTGAACCATGCAGTGTTTCTTTGCTCTGTTCTGATGACTGACTGCCTCCTAGTCCAAGTATAGGTTTCGCATAAGCACAGTCAAGTGTTCTGGATAGTCAGTATCCTTCCCTAACACCACAATTCAAAAGCATAAGTTCTTCTTTCTTCTTCCTATTCATTGCCCATCTTTCAGAGCATAGGAAGCAATTGAAAATAACACAGCATGAGTCAGGCAAGCCTTAGTCTTTAAAGTGACATTTTTTTCTCTTTTACACTTTCAAGAGTTCCTTGGCTGCAGATTTGCCCAATGCAGTACATTGTTTGATTTCTTGACTGCGACTTTTATAGGTATTTATTATGTGTCTAAATGAAATTAAAATTTTAACAAGTTTGCTCTTTTGTCCCTTTATCATGATGTTGCTTATTTTTTCAATTGGGAGGATTTTTGTTTTATGTTGATGTGCATTCCATATGTATGTAAAACTGTATTCTTTGATCTTCAGTTAGTACCTCAAGTTCTCTTCACTTTCATCAAGCTCTGCCCTCTAGAAATTTCTAACTTGATATGATAGAGAGCTAACTATTGTGTAGGGGGAAAATTGCTGCTGTAATTTTTATAGGTATCTCTGGTAGATTAGTGATAAGGAAATGCACAGCCAACCCACAGGCATGAGGTTTGAATCCAGCCACTGCTCCGCAGGAGAAAGGTGGGCAATTCTTCTTGTGCGATTTACTTCCTCTGAAAACCCACTGGCGGGTCAGATATGAGTTAGTTCTTACTCAATGGTACTTAACAACATACTGATAAAGGTAGATCAGAGGAGGAGGAGAGAGTAATTCTGGATGATGGGGAGCCAGTTGGGAAGTCAGATGAAGAAGGGAGTTGTTTTCTGGTGTAGTGAATGGATGAGAAAATGTTGAGGTGTGGAAAGGTTTGTGATACTTGACATCTTTCATTGGGATGAATCACGTGGGAGAAGCTTAGTGCAGGAAAGGACACAAGAAACTGAACTTTCTGTAACATGTGAAAAACAAGGGAAAAGGAAATTGGTTAAGATAGGAAAATAGGCAAGCTCTGGTGGCCTAGTGGCAAGAAGCTGCACTGCAATCCTAGAAGTACGTGGTTCAAATCCACCAGATGCCCTGCTGGAGAAGGAGGGACAATCTCCTCCTGTACCAGTCAGATCTGATTTGACGGTACACACACACACAAAATAATAAAAATAAAATAAAATAAAAAAGATAGGAAAATAAAGAGGTAAAAGAAGTGAAATTGGATTAAGATTTTTAGTATTAGAGGATGAAAAGTAAGTTAGGTTTTAATAAAGACAAGTTTTACTTTAGCTCTGCAGAGATATAGGCAGGAGCCTAGTCATAATTCTTCATGGTCTTCTAAAAAACTGCCGTGGAGGTAGTTATTAAGGCAGTATGATTCCCTATAGACACAGATTTCTCCCAGATGTGGCACGCAGCCGCTACATTTGAAGACTTGCAGTCGATTACTCTCTTAGGCCAGTTGGATACCCCTCTTTCTCTGGTATTTTTCACTTTTTTCTGAGTACAGTTATGCCATTGTCATTCTGTGTAATATGTAGTTGGAAAATGCAGTAGAGGTAATTTATTTTAAGAATTTTAAAGCACTTTCTGATAAGGTGTTGCATGAAGTGATACCACCAAAGAAGAAAGGGGAACGCCCTTTTCCCACCCATAGTCCGGATGTGCTTTTAATTATTTAGCTGGTTGCTTTACCTCAAGGAGAGTGAGGGGGGAAAAATAGTTCTAGCTGAAAAAGAAAAGAGGTATATTAATGATAAAATATTTATTGCTTTAGAGTTATGCTTAATGAAAATACGTGTAACTTTTGGAAATAAGCAATACTTCCGGATCTTTATCAATAGCTGTATCGTTCATAAGATGACGGTAGTGATCATTTGCCCCTGCCAGGAAGGAAGTGTGAGGCATCTAGGAAGCTTTTTAAATGCTGATTTTTTATGATCCTCATTATGATGTTTTCTTTGGGTTAAGAATTTATAATTTTTTCAGTCTTAGGAAGAGGGTACAGTGTTGCAGGAGGTTTTGAGCAAGAAGCAAGACTTTGGTACTTTGTGGATTGTTATCACCCAGCAAGACCCTTTGCAACTTCCTCTCGCCGCCCACAGCAGAATACGGAAACACTGCTGTATCAGGCCACTTCTGCAATTACATACAGTCACAATTAAAGGGAGCCCTCTTGCACTACGGTCTACTGGTTTGGGGACTGTCTTTGCATTTGAAAATGTGTCTCTTTTGGTGTTGTGCCCAGCTCACCTTCCGTTTTTCCTCTGTCTTTGCTGCTCCATAGTGCTGCAGTTGAAGCTCCAGCAGCGCCGGACCCGGGAGGAGTTGGTGAGCCAAGGGATCATGCCACGTAAGTGCCTCTCTCCGCATGCTTGTGAATGACTGTGAGGATGGGTTGTGGGTGATCATTGTGCCATGGGAACCATCTAACAAAACAGAGGCAGCAAGTCTTATTTCCCACTCTCTTTCTCATGCTTTTCCAAGCTCAGTGACTCTAGTTGACTAATTCCATAATAGCCCGATTTGATCACCAAGTTCAGTGAAAGAAACAGCATTAGGTTTAAAGGGTATGTCTTTGTTATTTAGTGGTGCTAAGACAGAAATACTACAAAGAGAGGACATTAACAAACAGAAACTTATTTTCTTACAATTGAAGTCTAAATATCCAAATTCAGTGTATTTATCTGTTGGGGAAAGTCTTTCGCGCTCTATTAGATCTGGAGGAAAATTCTTGTCTCTTTGGGTTGCTGTTTCTGGGTTATCTTTATGTGACTTGACACCCCCCTACCCACATGCTGCTTCTTGTACAGCTCAAAAGACATTGCATCAAGATACACCCTTCACTAATTCTGCCTTAGGAACTGTGGTTGACTAGTGAATAGAGAGTTGCATTGCCAACCCAATGATGGGCAGTTTGAATCCAATAACTGCTCCAAGAGAGAAAAATAATCAGTTTCCTCCTGTGCATTTTATAGCCTTTGAACTCCTATCTGAGGGTGAGAGTAATGAATTGTTTACTTGTTGAATTCTCCCTTATTAGTATGAAAAAGACAACCTGTTCCAAAATGGATTATAAGTTGGCACTCAGAGGTTAGAACTTGCAATATATATTTTGAGGGGCACAGTTCAGTTCATAACAGGGTGCTATTTGAAGAAGAATTTTTCTATTTTGTTACATTTCTCCTTATAAGAGGGATAGATCTCAGCTGAGATGTGGTGAGGAACAGTCCATTATTTCCATACCCTTTGCTTTAATGTTCACGTTCTTGAGGAGAGAAAGCTTTTTCTCTCCTGGTATTTTGAGTCAAGAAGACTTCTCTTGTCAAGTGAAACGATCAGATGTGTTGAGGATATTCTAGGGTGGAGATGTTGATGGGATTATCCCATACTTGCCTTGGGGTGTGCAGAACTGCATCGCTTGAGGGAAATGAAACCAGACCGTAGGATCTGGTGCAACTACGAAATGCTCCTTTTAATACTTAACACCATTACAGACCCACTAGAAACTGGAACCAGGATTTTAAGTTAGTGCCTGAGCACATAGGCTTACTCTCTTCTTTTTTCCCTGTTTGTATGTTGTTATCACTTGGACTATGTTGTTATACTTTGGACATGTTTCAAGGAGGGACCAGTCCTTGGAGAGGGACGTCATGCTTGGGAGGGTGGAGGGACAGCGCAGGAGAGGAAGACCCTCAATGAGATGGATTGATTCAGTACCTGGGCTAATGGGGGTAGGTGTGTCAGAGACAGATTGGCACAGGATAGGGCAGGGTTTAGGGCTGTTGTACATAGGGTTATGAGTTGCAGGCGACTCAATGGCACATAAAACAACAAATTGATGTTGCAAAATAAGATACTTTAAGAATGATTGGATGAAAAACCAGGATGACTTGTGACTATGTATTTGTTCATGGAAATACATAATTTTTTTTTTATAAAAAAAGTAGCATCTAGTGTAAAGTGCTAACTTATTGGCCTGAAGAGTTTCGGAAAAGAACCTTTAAGTTGCTTCAAGTTTAAAAAACAAGGGAAAAGAAAAGTATTATCTGTTTCATTATTTTTGTCCCTTTTATCAACTTCTTCTTACCCTAACAGTTCTTTCTACACTTGAGAAGGAAAACCAACAAAACCCATTTCACATTATTTTGCAGACACTTATAAAAAGTTTCCATGCAGGACCTGGCTTTAGTTCAGATGTCATGTCTGTAGGATGTTATGTGCCTCAGTGGCTTGTTTGTCTTTGTGTTTGTTTCTCTGTATTGTTCAAGACTAAGATATAAAGTTTAGGCTATTTAAGATTCTCCCAGTTCCTATGCACTGCTCTTTGCTGCTTGACAGTCTCTGTCCCCAGCATCTGAACTATTGAGTATAGAAGTTGGTTTCTGCAAGATCATTTCCCAGTATCTTGGATTCAGTCATAACAACATGTGTCTCAGATTTAACACCACTTAAACCCTTTTAAATACAGAATGCAAGAAACCAAAGGATTACACATTCCTGGCCCCTGAGCTTTCACTAATGATGTTGGAAGTTTGATATATTTTGAGGGAATTAAACTGAGAGAAGGGAGAAGGCACATATAGGGAGTTGGTATTTAAATCCCCAGATTGAAACCGGGAAAGCCTCTGTGTGCTAGATGAAGATCATGGAAGAGATGGGTCATGTGTAGTACACGTTGTTCTCAAATAAAAGCTTCACTTGCAGCCTTTCTCTTTGACATTTAAAGATGTACAAGGTCATAAGGTTATAGTGAAAATCAAGAAGAATGTTCTGGCAGTGAGATCTGTTGCAGGGATGACCTTTTAAAGGAAGCCATGGACATCCTTCTTAACAGGAGAAAAATGTCTCCTGTAATTTTTCTGGGGGTAAGAGAACTTTTTCTCTCCTTTTCCATCACTGCTTTTTGTTGTGCTCTTTCGAAGTTGGGGGTGGGGAACAGACTAACATGTTTCTTATTCTCAATTTAACCCTTAATTCATTATTTTCCCTTGTGCAAGTTGTTGTTGTGTACCATTGAGTTGGAACTGACTCATAGCTGAGCCTCCAGAGGGTTTTCAGAGGCATGGGAGGAGATTGCCCATCTTTCTCCCTTGGAGCAGTTGGTGGATTCTGACTGCTTGCCTTTGGGTTGGCAGTGCAGCTCCTTACTCATTAGATCATCCGAGCTCCCTCAGGGGCAAGGAAAAGCAAAACGTTGCCATTGTGGTAGTCAGGTTATGAAAGAATTACTATTGTCTTGTAGGTTCTCCAAGACCTGTCCTGTTATCTTGATTGAATTATCTTTTTTAAA